CCGCGGGCGCATTGTTGTTTCCCCCGCCAGCCCTCCGGCCGCACACGCTCCTTCGCCTACTCCGGTGCTGACGGAGCGCCCGCCCCGGCGCGGACCGCTACCCGGGCTCCGCTCCGGGGTCCAGGCGCCTCCTCCTGCAGCCCGACCCCCCTTCCCCGCCCCGTGAGCCCGCCGAGGCCAGCAGCCAGCCTGGCCCCCGGAGCTCGTGCCGCTGATGGCATCTCCCTCCACCCCGCCCCCAGCAAGAACCGAGCAGCTCCCATCCCTGGAACTAATCCCTTCTTCCCGTTCCCCCCCCCCTCCCAAAACGAGCCCCCCACGCACACCCCCAGTGCTTGGGACGAGCCTTCTGCCAGGTCTGCCCACCCTTAGCTGGGGGGAGGGGGGACAGATTGGGGGGCGGGGAGCATGCATGGCACGGGAGTGGAAAGTCTGTGCCTCCGCCGTGCAACCCTTCTTCCCTAACATGCCAGCTCCCCTCCTATCCTAACCACGGAGTCCACCACCACCCCCTTTTCTCAGAGTCGCAGCTGCCTGGTCAGCACGACCTCTTCCGAGCATGCTGAGCCCCAACTTTGCAGTAAGACGGTAAAAAATGGAAATTCAGAAAGCTGCGAAAAGATTTTTTTTTTTTAATGCAATGAATGGGGAGGAGTTCTTTGAGCACCCTTTTATTCACCTCTTTTTCCTCTGGGCTGCCTGCCTGCCTGCCTTCCCCTCCCCCCAACCTGGATGCCTGTCTGCTGGAAAAGGCGCGATTGCTTCTCTTCCTCTTCTGCCCAAGATCAGGCACTAAGGTCTGATATCCTTTTTAGTTACACGTGTGTCCACACTGAGTCTTCTTGATGTTCTTGCATTCACCAGTTCCTCTGGACAGTTCTTGCCATAACCCCATTTCTCAGACAAAGGCTTAGGAGGGAAAAAGAACCAAACTGCTTCCTGTGTTTGCCATTTTAATGCTGTCCATCCCCACACGCCCAATTCCTATCCCTGATGTTTCTTGTGCCAGTGTCTTGAACCTTCAGGAGGAAACAAACAAACAAAAAATCTCCTGGGTAGCTTGATACAGTTTCTTTATAAATCTGCATTGTTGCTTCTGGTTTATGGCCACGAAGAAAATACCAGCCCCCACCCAAAATGCACCGCAGCCAAGTCGGCTAAAGGCGATGAGTGTTGGAGTCAGTAGGGGGCGCATTCCCTGCACTGGGTAAGGCTGCAGAGGGGGGAAGGGCCCCAGAGCTAGAACAGGATGTGCTTCACAGCGCCTTCTACAGACCATGGGAAAATGGACCCAGCAAGACACACTCTCGCACTCTTAGTTGGTGAGCTGACAGCAACATGGCGAAGGATTAAGTGAGTCAAGAGCGGTGATTTTATTTCTTTTAAAGAATCCACCCAGCATTTTAGAAGTTCTGTCTTTTGACTTGTTCAGAACTGTTGACCCTGACAATCCACATTTGTTCTTGGCACATCCTTGGTACACAGATTTCCTGTTCTCTGGAATTCTTCCACCTTAAGCTTTGAATGTGTCACCATGTCTTTCCAAGGTCAGGTGGTAAAGGGGGAAAGTTTAAAACCTGAGAGTAATGGGTTTGGGAGTATTGCTGATAACCTCCTCTCTTGGCCCAAATCTTTCCAAGTCTTTGAGAGTTAAAAATCATTCTTGAGGGATGTTAGATTTCAGTGGGGTAGTAATTTTCATAAGCATGTAGATGGGTGTCATGATTTGCAAAGCCTTGTTGGTAAACATCGAGCCCACGTTGAGTTCTTCGTTGTCAAACTCAACAGAGTTGATTGTCAAATTTTGTTGCCTTCCAACTTTGGACTTGTAATTGCCGTTCATTATCTTCAGTAGCCAACCACCTTTGCAAAAGTGTTGACACCGGTCTTCTGTGAGCACCCACCTTCTTAGGGTGTGTTGATTTCTATAGATTTTACTCCTCTTGTTATTTCCATAGGTGTGAGATGCACAATGCGAAACCTAGGCCCCAGCTTTTGCACCATGATGCACAGGGTTGTACTTTTTGTACTGAACTGATAGGTGGCCTAGTGGTTATGCCCTGTACTACCATTTTGAGGATCTGGACTCCGTTCCTGCCTTGCTCTTTGGACCACATTGTCAATTCACACCGGTGGGTATATTCATTTTGGAGGGTGGGAACTGCAGCAACAGGGAGGCCAGAGACTTCTTCCTCCTTGGTCACCACCAAAGCCAACACTTCCAAAATATCAGCCTAGCCACATTCCTCAAGGAACCGGTTAGAGCTGGTTGCAGTCGTGGGTTCTGAACAGAGAAATGACCTAATGGCTTGTATAAGAGAAAAATTTTTAAGTTGCTAATATTGTTTTAATGGTTTGCATTCTGCACTCTTGTGTATAAAGTTAAGTTCTCAATTACTGTTATCTTGATGACCAGTCTCAAGAGTTGCTAAGCTTCTATAAACCTTGGAGATTCTCTGATCAGAACAGACTTTTTCCATGAACATGAACTTGCTACCAATGACTGACAGTGGTAGTTGATACTCAGAGGGTACTTTAAGACTTTGTTGCAAGTTTTATATAGATACACCAAGATAAATTTGTGGGGATATGAATGGATGTATTCTTTGATAGACACAGTTATTCGGTTGGTGCTTAAGGGAGAATTTTCCTTGAGCATTTGCTGCCAAGTAACATTTTGGTGAGTGAAAAGGAGGCAGTTTGGTTCAGATATTCCATTTGGAGACAATTAAGTATTGCTTTTGCAATTTTTTAGTGACTTCAAGAATCAGATACTAAATCTAAGTGGTATTAATTATAATTTTAAAAACTGCTCAGTATTTATTAAACAAGTATAATTTTGACCTGTACTTGGTCTTTGGTATATACTTGTATGAGTTTTTAAATGAGTAATTTGAAAACAACTTACTTGAGTCCATGTTTGAGGTGAAGTTTGTGAAGGTGCTTTTGTTTGCTTTGGCAAATTATACATACGATACAGTGTTAACTGATGTCCTTAGTGGTAATAGCCATTTTTCCCCTACAGGAAAACTTGCTGTGATCTCTTAGAAAGCATGTATTTTGCAGTTTCAAGGTTTCCTGGTTTTACTAGTCAAAATAAATAAATAAAAGGTGAAACAATTGGGCTTGAAGGCTGGAATTTAGGTAAACCTATGAGGGCTTGTTAAAAGTACAGAAAAAAAAAAAAAAAAGAAAGCATTAATAAACCAGAGGGTGGGGATGGGTATTCTGTTTAATTGAACTTTTAATAGAAATTCCTAATTTATCTTGGCCCTTGTTGGAAATTTACTGAAATTACCTTATTAGAGGCTGCTATACATTGAACTAACCAAATCTTTGATTCTGGTTCTTAAAGTCTCTGTATAGAAAACTTAGGAGATTGGGCTTTGAATCTCTAAAGATTTCTGGCCCTGGCTATCCTGGAAGTCATTGGTTGTAAACATACACACTGTGAATTTGTTTTGCTTAAATTTCTCTTTTTTTTCCTTAAACCAGAGTGCAGGAAAAGTTCTAATACTATTTATATTAAAATAAAACGTCACCATGTTGAACAGATTAAGTGTCAAGTAAGTTCACAATTATTGTTTTTTTTTTTTTGATGACCCAATCTGAAGAGTTGCTAAGCTTTTAAAGACCAGAAAGAGTCTCTGATTAGAATAGGCCTTTCCATGAACATGGAGTTGCTACCAAATAACCAGCTAAGAGGCTTTTATCAAGTAAAAATGGCTTTTGGTTTTTGTTATAATGTAAATGCACATACTTACTTGATTATGAAAAGGAGAATTAAATAAGGTCGCTTTACTAGTAACTATCCACAGAATTTGAAAAATATCTACTGAATATAATTTTCAGTATTTTAAAATGTAGATATTTAGCAGTCTATTGATTCACATATTTAAGATGTACATACACTGGCTACATGTTTAATTGTGGGAATTACTTTAACGAGGATGATGTGGCTGATCTGTTAAAAAGGAGCAAGTAGGGATCGATACTTGGGTAGAGAGAGATTGAAAGAAAAACCTCAGAATTTCAGTAGTATTTTTGTCTTTTGGGAACTATATATAAGTAACAAAAATTGCATAAGTTGTAATAGACTTTGGCAGGTTGAGTCCATTAATGGGCATGTGTATATACACACTTCAAATACAACCCGCTTTTTTAGAGTTGAAAATGACTGGCCTGTTATTAAATACAAAGTCCATGCATTAGAGATGCAGTTGGGAAACAGTATGTTAACTATGGAAAAAATGAATTAGACATTGTAGTTTTTTTTTTTAATAACCTGTTAAAATCTTAGATAAACTTTTAAGAAATGTGAAAAGTACAAAAAAATGAAAAATTTTATTTTAGGATAAGATTAGAAGCTAATTTGTAGTTTTTACCAAGATGCTCAAAACTGTTGTGTGATAATCCACGTGTTCATCCTGGACTTTAAAAAAAGACTTTCACTTTAAAGTCTGTTATGTCTTCCAGAAGATAAAATACTTTTCATGGGGAGTTTAACTTTCATTTATTTGCCTAAGAGACATGAACATTAAGTAAAACTTTGCTCCCCTAAGTAAATAATTTAGTTAGATTCACAGAGCCTGACATGTTCTTAGCCTCACAAACTTAGGAAGTTTTTCTTCTCCTAGTTTTCTAAGAGCCTGTGACATTAAGTCTGGAACAAATGGCCATATTTTGCTGCTGTGCATCACTGTCAGTTATACATTTTATGTTAGTTTGGAAACTTGGCGTTTAAAATTGGTGAGAAACCGCCCCACGCTAACTGAATTGATAATTTTGAACGTAGAAGCCATTTCTTATTTACTCATTGGCACTTTTCTGCCTTAATCATTGAGCTACTTTATGAAAGAGGCCATCTGTGTTTGGCCCAGCATGAGTGGCCACAATTCCATTGTGACTTTATGCTTTTTATAGCCTGATCCTGTTAATTACAAAGTGAGGGAAAGGCTGATTGTGCTCCCTCAGTCTCTCAGGGTCTTAGTACTCCTTAGACCTATGTTTTGGTTGCGATCTACCTTTGCTCTCTGGCAGTTTAGGAGTCTGCTTAAATGAGAATCCATATTCTGCTTCACTGGAAGAAGGCTCTCCTCACGTATCATCAAGCTTCTCAAACTGGGGTACAGATATGTGTACTTGATTATATTGTGATATATGTGTCTACCTTAGGAAGTCAGAGATAAAATGTGAGCCAGCTATATAAAGGAACCATTTTGATTGAGGGCGCACATTTTCTAATGAGTGTAAAATGCAAAGTTCTTTTCATTCTTTCCATCTGGGTTCTCCCTCTCCGTGTATGCATTAGCTAGCCTCTGCCTGTAGGTCTTTGAAGTGCACTCACAAGCTGCCTTGCTTTTATTGATCCCTGGTTTAATTCTAACACTGCAGCTAGAGAAATACTGAAATCTCCAGAATGTCAGCAGTGTTCCAGAAATGAAGGTTCAGAAATTAAGGAGAGCATAAGAACTTTTGGTAGAGTTTACTAAGGGAAGACTGCCCTGAACATATACTGCAGTTTAAGATTTAAGATTTAAGGTTAAGGTTTAACTCAAAAGCATGCATGTGATCTGTAGGAGACTTGTGCATTGTTTGACCATCCCTTAGAATTAAAAATAAATCCCTACACATCCTAACTCCCTCTCCAGTAAGGGTATAGAGTTATAATTGAGTCACTCAGCTGTGGCTTGTTGCTGTTTATGTGTCACTTTTCACATGACTTGGTTGATGATTTTAGTAAGGGTGAGCTGTGAGTGGAAAGGCCTCTTTGCTGGCCTTTATGGTATTATAATATTAATGGTATGCCTGTTTTATTTGCCAGGCACTTTATGAAACCATTCTCAACTCTCTCAGGATTGTCCTTGTTTCACAAGTGGGCAAATCAAGGCACTGCGACATGCACTGATGAAGTGAGCTACAGAATGTGTCTGTGCCAGGCCTGTGCCTGGAACATAGGCTTTTATAGGTTCCCATGTGCTGTTTGGCTGATGAGGGCACACACGAATGCTTCATGGTGATGTTTTGTGCTTGTGTATCAGAGAATACCCAAGGATCCTAAGTGGGCTTCACAAAGAGGCCGGCAAGAGAGCACCGGTGAAAATTGTGCTGGGGGGTGGTTAGTTGAAGCAGTGTGTGTCTAGTTTGGAGTTGCCTGTCCAAGGATCTAAAAAGAAAGTTTGTTTGTGGTCCTGTTGCTTTTTCCAATGTTTTGGTTTAGGGCAGTCTTATTCCTTCTCTCCTCTGAGCAGTTATTTTTGCTTAGACAGATAATTGCTGGCTTTTGCCCTTCTGCCTTTCCTTTTTCTGAACCCTCTGTGCTCCGTTGAAGAGTTTTGTGTGGAAACCTGTGCTTCCCTTGAAAATCTGCATCTTTTTCTGGTGGGAACTGGCAACAATTGGAAACCTGTATGAGTGGTTTCTTTTGAAATGTGATATATCTGAAAAAACTTCTGTCTGGTGGAAATACAGAAAAACTCATTAAAATTTTAAGTTGGGGTTGTAAACATAAGTCAGTAGTTGGAGTTCTTGCTCTCGTGAAAGGGAGACTGGGAGTGTGTGACACAGTGGGCTCAAAGTCCTGGTTCTGAAACAGTTAGGCTTAAAAACAACACCAAGAAAAAACTTCTCTGCAGAAGGTGGAAGGGTTGAGCCAGCAAGGGGCAAAGACTGCTGCAAGAATAATGCTTCTGCTACAAAGAAAGCTTTGCCTACACTTTGACTCTTTGGAGGTAGCTTAGAAAAACTTGAGGTGATTCACGTAAATTATTCTTTTATTCATGGATGAGGAGAAAACTAACCTTTCCCTTACTCTGGGAAAATTATTTGAGTAGTTTTGATAGAGCATGGACATGTTATCATGAAGGGATTAAAAATAACCGGTTTTTCGTCTTAGGCTATTTAGATGCAAAGACAAGGACATGTCACTGGAATGATTAAAAGTAGATGTACCTAGATGTCTTCTTAGGCCCACTTGTGAATTGATTTCCCTTGTTCACATATCTCTTAAGCCACGTTGTCCACCTAAATTGACAGCAGCATCACTAAGCTATGGAGTTCTTACGTAGGCACCAGAGTGTTGGAGTCGTGCCCCACGCTGTGTCCCTGCCTTGCCGGAATGCCTGTTTAAAACAGAGTAAATTGGGAAATCCTCCCCGTCTCATACTCTCTGAAGTTAGATTAGGGTGTTAGAGATGGTCTCCATCCTTTTGGGGTGGGCGGTAAGCTGTGAGGCATCTTTCTCCCTGTCACATAAAATTGTGTCTACTCCAGTATGTAATATCAATGAAGGGTTAGGGACCGTACCTCCAGTTGCTCAGCTGTCATCTTGTCCCTCTGGCCTCATCTCCCCTTCCATCCATGTATATATCTTAACAGTTTCAGCACACTCTCAGAAGTGCACCCTGAAAGCCATTGGTTCCATTGGTGTTCTGTAGATTCTGGTGGTCACAGCTAGGAATCTCATCTGAAATCTAAATACTCCCAAGTAATAGGGAGTTTCCAGTCATAGGCACTAGTCTTGTAGTCTGAAAGTCTTCTTAAAAGAGAAGTGACCCACATGCTTTTTAAAATAATAAATATGCAAAATCTAGATCACACCTTTAAGTTTCTATGTGACTGTAAGTCACCTAGGCTTATTGTGGGTACCTGCAGATACGCTGTTGCATAAACGTTTTAAGTGCCGCAGAGTTTGTGAAGTTAAGAATATGCTAACTCTTTAACATGAAAAGCTCCCATAAACATATTCTGTGAAAGCACTGTTATGTGTGTGAATGTGCGTTATAATGTGTATAGGGACAGGTATATGGCAACCACGTCTGATTCTCAGGAATAATAGTCCATATTTTTTTTAAAAGATTATATATACTGTGGTGTGAGCTCATAATTTTCAAAGTGATTATTCCAGTATCTGATCTGGCTTAAGATAATGATGATAACTGCTATAAATATTAACTGGTATCATCTCATTTAATCCTTCTGGCACTTGAACAATGGGGATAGTGTCCTTCTGGTTATACCATAAGGAAACAGACCTCCAGAGGTTGAGTAACATTTTTAAGTTCACAAAGCTAGTAAGTGGCAAGAGTAAGGATTTGAACACAGATCTGTCCAGCTCTGGAGCTGGAGCTGTATTCTTAATCACTACATTGTACCATCTTTCTTTTGAGCAGAGGAAAACTTTGTTGTGTCCCTATTTGTTACATAAGTTTGAAGCTGTGAGGTAACAATTTTACATGTGGCTGATAGGTCAGCTACATTTTTGTTCATAAAAACAATATAGTCTTACTGGAAAACAGATTTTAATGTAGGCTATAGGGTTCAGCCTTGAACTTCACCTTTTGCTATCACTTCAATATCGTATTACCTTACCTTACCTTGTACCTAAGGCTCTGGTGATTTTGCAGGCCTTTCAGATCGCGTACGTCTGAAATGGGTGTAAGCTCTCTCAGGCAATTCTGACAGTTGCTTAGGCCTGGTATGCCACTCTTTATAGACCTCCTTTAGGCCTTTTTAAAATGGGACCTGCCGACCATGGCCAGATGGATTCTCTTAAAGTGCCATTAGA